TTTAAACTTGTTGAATATGTTCTTGAGATATGTATGTTTTCTAAGCTTTCTCATTCAAGGTGCCCATGGGGTCGCTTAAGTGAGCAAGTGAGACCATTTTAGGAAAGTCTCTAACTCGGTCCGCTTAGAGGGCTTGGTGTGGATGTTCGGAATGAACTTTGGTAGCTTAGAGTAAGAACTCACTCACTTAGAGTGAAAGCTCACTTGCTTTGAGTAAGTTGAGGTAATCATCTCAAAGGTGTTTTATGACTTGGCTCACTTAGAGTGAATTTTGATCGCTTAGAGCAAGTTTTGATCACTCAGAGCGAATTTTGATGGTGTATGGCAAGACATCACTCGCTTAAGTGAGTGGAGCACTTCTCCTAGGAGAGCTCTCTACCTGAACTTGCTCAGAGCTAGCTCTTAGGCGCTTAGAGAGATTTCATTCACTCAAAGCTAGCTCTAGGGCACTTAAAGTGCCAATTTCCCATCTAAACTTGTAGTTTTCTTAATCTATCTTATTGATTTGGTTACTTACATTATGTGTGATATTGATTCTAGTTCAATATTTATTAATCCATAATGAGGTATGATGAAGAAATAAGTTGCTTTAATGTTGAAAATATCTTGAGATATGAAATTTAAGATGTTGTGCCATGAAATGCTAGGAGCATGTTTTGTATAGAGCTATGTTATGCATGGAGTTGTGTTGTATTGTTAACTTAGGACTGGAGGAAAGGTATTGTTTTAAAAGCTGAAATATCTCATTATGTGGATATGTGTTATGGTGCTCTATGAGCCTAGTTGTTGAAAAACCCTCCTTGAGTATTGTTGTCTCTTGGAGTAAAGTATTGAGTCTCCTCTAGGTCCTTAGTTATTTTGACGTATGAAGTCAAGGGGTAAAATCTTTAATTGATTATTGGAAAGGTACATGATATCGTAAGAATAGTTGGCAATCTATACCCATAGGTGACTTAGTTAATACATGTCAAAGTCGTGGCAGACTCATACCCAAGCTAACTATTTCTAACGACGAGTACATGACTTTCCTAATTTAAGTAGAAAAATATGAGAAATCATGTTGTGTTGTGAATTGATATCCAAATTTGTTATTGATCTAACAAGCCAAAAAATCGGACTATTAAAGTTTGGTTCAGTAGAATCAAGCCACACAGAATGTTCATTTATCTTATAAGAGATCTCTTAGTTGAAATGTGTGACGATGCATTGTGTTGTTATGTTGCGATGTTGTTTTAAGTTGTTCTATTATGTTATGAGTTGTTGTGTTGGTTATATGTTGTGCTGAAAAGTTGAGATGATAATATGTTGTGCAATGATGATAAAGTTGACATGTTGAGTAGTTGAAATGGATGTGTTGATTTGTTGAGTTAAGATTAGATTGTTGTTGAATTATGGATAAAGTTATTAATATTGTTAGTATCTTATTGCTATATTTTATATGTTGCAGCGATGATCATGTTATATGAGAGCAGGTAAGGACGGAAACAAGTCAAGCCATAAATAGAGGGTCTATGATCTGACCTCTTTAAAGTTTGGTCTAGCCTAATCTCTCAATAAAAATGTCAAGTTTAGGCTTTTAAAAGAACCTATTTATATAAAAAGGTTAGACTTAGACTTATAAAAAAGTTTGTTAAGCCTGATAGATCAATTTATTTATTTATATAATATAATAAAAAAGTAATATATATTATTAAAAATATAAATAAACAAAAATTTATATTTTCGGTTGTGTTATTGTGTATGTGTGTATACAAGATTGTATTGTAGTTCCATTGAAGAACCTTTACGTTATTAGTTGAATATTTCTTATAGATATATATATTTTTACATGTACATACAGGAATTGTTTACATGACAATCTAAGGTAATTAGATTTATGTTTTTCATTACTTAATTACTAAGATAAAATATAAAAACTTGTCAAATCATTACAGAATATAAAATCTTTTCAAGTCAATTAAATACATTTTTTAAATTAATAATTTTATATTTCAAATGTATCAATAATAAGATGGAGATAACTTAGTTAATTTTCATTTTAATTAATTTAATCTTATTAGTTGTCTTTTGTACATTTGTAAAATTTACGAATTGATTTGTGTCAATTTTTCTAAACAGAAATTAGCAACTGTTCTTAATAATAAACGAAACACGAATAAATAAAATTTAATACTAAATTAAACACCAGTGCATAAATGATTTTAAAAAATAGAGAATACAACTGTGATGAAAAATCTAATCTTCCTCTTAAATCTACCGCTTGTTATTGAATCTAGATTCCTCTAAAAAATAGTTAAATCTCCATATACAAACATTAATGTTGTTGAATGTTCACCTCAAATGCTTTCCTTTATCTAAAATAACACGACAAAAAATAGTTATTTAGTAAATTTTTAATTTTCTAAAATGTTAAAATTAACCTAAGTTAAAATTTCTTAAATAGTACATTCTTGAGTCTAAAAATTTGAAGAAAACAGAAGTAGAAGCCCAAAACTCTAAATCTAGCTCATTTTTTTTCCAAAAATGTTCATTAAAAAAACGATTCATGATAATACACCTTTTTTTAAAGTACATCTTATTTATTTTTTAATAAAATCTTAAAATATTTTTAATCTTTTTTATTCTTTAATTTTTTTTTATTTTACGCCTCCAACTTTCAATTTAACACTTTCTTCTTCTTCTTTTCACACACCTCCTTTCATTTCTCTTTCAATTTTTACATGCACTCCATTATCTTTCCTTCACTCTCTACCTATTTAATAAGTAATTATAATTCTTTTGGTTTTAACATTACTTTCTTTCCCTCACCTTTTAGTTTTCATATGCACTACATTGTCTTCCTCCCCACTCCCCACCTATTTTAATAGGTAGGCTTAATTCTTTTGATTTTCTACATTACTCTCTTTCCCCTCACTTTTCAATTTTCACATGCACCTAGATCGTAGAATTGATACACAACGATATTGTAAGCACATACAACTTCCTCAACAATTTCAAAAGTTTCGAGTTAGGCACACGTTTTTTTTTCTTTGAACACTCTCTCCTCTTTCATATTTCTAACCTTAACATTAAATTTAGTATTCTAAAAAATATTTTTCAGAACATAAATTTTAATATTCTGAAAAATACTTTTTATAATAGTGAAATTAGTCTTCTGACAAATATTTTCCAAAATTGTATTTTTATATACTTCAAAAAAACACTTTCCAAAATATTAGATTTACTCTTCCAAAAAGAGTTTTCCAAAATTATTATGTAAAATAACACTTCCAAAAAGCACTTTCTAGGATAGTAAAATTAATGTTTCAAAAAGTACTTTATGAAAGTGTTGTTTTACATAATTCTAAAATGATCTCTCTAGAATAATAAATTTAATGTTCCAAAAAATACTTTGTAAAAGTATGTAAAAAATAATATTCCAAAAAACATTTTTGAAATATTAATTTCACTATTTCAGAAAGTACTTTCTAGAACACTAAGATTATTTGGAACATTAAAATTTAATGTTGTGTTTTCTAAATATGTAAATGGGTAAGTGTTAGAAGAAAAAATACATATTTAACTCAACACCTTCGACACTAACAAGGAAGTCACATGTGTCTATAATATTGTTGGGCACCAATTTTATGTCTCGAATGCGTGTAAAAACTAAGAGAGAGAGAGAGAGAGAATAATAGTGTAAAAACTAAAAATTAAAAGGAGAAAAAAGAAGAAAGTAATGTAAAAATCGAAAGAATTAAAATTATTTACTGAAATAAGTAAGTAAGGAGAAAACACAAGAATGCATTTGAAAATTGGAAAGAGAAGCGAAGGATGTGTGTGGACAAAAAAGAGAAGGTTTTAAATTGAATGTTGAAAATAAAAAAATAAAAAAAAAAGTTAAAAAAAAAAAAATATTAAGGATATTTTAAAAAAAATTAAAAAAAGAGTACTTATATATATATATAGATAAATGTATATATCATTAGCCCAAAAAAAACTACCTTTTCAGGAATCCTTTCTTATAACTTTGCTGCACTAAATTTCTGCTTGAGAAAAACAAACCCTAAGTTAAGACTCACAATAGTGCATAATAGTCACGGACCAACGATTCTCTGAATTTTAATAAAGCAAGCGAAGGATTATGCAGTCACCATTTTTGGGAGTATTTTTTTATCAAAAAAAAAATGACCAAGATTTGAGTTACATGTATATTTTAACTTGAGTTATCTCCTTTTCATTACTGAATAAAATGACCAAGATTTCTTGCAGTCACTGTTCTGACTGCTTAGAATCCATGAAAAATATTTGTTTACGCTATATAACCAGACATTACACTAATCACATCTTATGTTATCAAACTTCATCAAGCCAAAATTTATTCTAAGTTAATTATGCCGTGTTATCATTATAATTTCGAATATTTTTTATTTTATATTATTAAATTTTACAAATCATAATAATAAAAATGCACAGTACCAGAACTAGCTTTCAACAAATTAGATATCATCAAACAGCAGCCATATTATACCCTCCCCCACCCTAAGAAAAGCCACAACTATTTATGAATACGCCCGTTTCTGGTGTAGTTTTAATGTCAAATTCAACTTCAAACGCTTTGAACAATTTTGGCGAGTAGAAAGCTTAAATTATAAAATATAGGCATCACAAATGACACTAAAATTTTTAAGATTACTAACATAGTTTGAGCCTATAGATTTCTTTTTATAGGTTAAAATAGTGGGTACACAATGGTATATAGGTGAATGAAGCCCATTCTCCAAATAGACATACATAGAAACAAAAAGTGGCGCAAAACTCGGAACATGTTTGAGCGATATAATGGAATTGATGACAAGGGGACTATGAATAAGTGGTTTCCACCAACCATTGGTTGGTGAGAGAAACATAACACAACACTAGCAACCAATGCTAGTTTATAGAAAGAGACCACGTAGAAGAAAGTGGTATCAGTGAGGTGATGTTGACAGTTGGTGCATGCAAGATCACAAGCAAACAGATCGTGACAAAGATTTGTAACAAGAGTTTCTTTAAATAAAAATTCCAGATGTTAGAAAAGTCCAACTATAAAGTTTTCCCCTTGCAAGACCGACCCATCATAAATTAAGCCTTCAAGATCCTCAAAACGCCATCCAACTCTACAAGCTAAACAATTCATGACCCCAACAGGAAACAAAGATACCATACTACCGAGTCTCAAAGACAAAAGTATCAACAAAACGCCACAGGTACCTTAGAATATATCTGTTTCTATGTATGTATATATGTAAATATATCTCCCAGCAGCAACAACCCCAGAAACATGTGAAATGATGATTCACTCAGTGCATGGCGGAACGCGGAGCACGAGGTCGCACTGGTGTCTTAGATGGACTTACCCTGCTTGCCAAAGAATGTTTGAAGAATTAATGAAAAGTTCCCTGTGGTTTTAGAACAGTTGAAATCAACGGAAAATCTGTCAATCTAACCTTATTGGCAGTGAACCCAAAATCACACCACTACAGCTCAGAGCTGCAATTGCACTCTCAGCCTGCAAGAATGGGGCAAATAAAATCTTCAGGCCATAAAGGAAAAAAGGCACAGAAAAACAAAGATTGGCTAAAAAGTATTTGGAGACAACTGTTAACAGTTAATACTTACCTGTAAGCACGACATATAATCCTTAAAAGTAAAAGACTGATAAATGACATAGTTACAGAGAACTTAGATTATCTAAACCCTTCTAATATGACATTTTAGTAAGGAAACAAAGATCAGGACTACACCAGTGAAGAAAAAGTCTACAGATGTATCTTACAAAAGAGAGGAATCAAAACTGGTAAAGCTAGGATGATATGGAGATGCAAAAACTACAAAGGCAAAAGATGCAACATCTTATTTTGTGAGATCCTTATTGCATTCAACAAATAGTCAGGGAAAAAAGGAACAAAACAGTTTTGAACATTGCCAAAAGATGACGAAAAAGTAGGAGGTGGATAAAAAATACAACCACATTGGGCAAGCAACTCAAGGCCACTAACAGAGTCAACAGCAGAAGGCTTCAGTATGGCTCCATCAAATTGAAACATATGTTCAATAGGATTCTAGGGAGTTCAGGGCTAGTGATTTTGCAAGTCTAACATGAAAATTATCTATACAAACTGAAATTCATATATTTTAAATTTAAATTTGAAAACAAGACAAAAACAGCTTAATAGCTCCACCAATTCAAACTGAGACACCATCATGTGATTCCGGAAAATCAAATTGTACCTTATTGAGCAAGCCTAAGCACCACTGCCCTTCCATGGCCCGAAGTGAGCCACACGACCATAAAAGATTAAAGCAAATGGATATGCATTTCTTAACACCTAGATCACCAAAGCATCATACTGAAGTTTAGTAAATGCAAAGTGTAATGTGTTGTCCATCAAGCATCAAAAAATGTATTTATCCATTTGGACTTTTGAAGGTGAAAAGCATACTTAGATGCCAAACTGAAGACCATCATCAAGGCATCAACTACCTCTTCTAACCTTCCCAATACCCATAAACTGCCTCTTTTCTTCCCTTTGAATACTCTTGTTAGTTATCACACACACCTTAAAACACCAGCTATGTTCAACGCATGCCACTGCCACATCGTTGAAGTGGATTTTCCAACCCCCCCCCCCCCCCC